TCAAAGCTCTTGAGACTTGAATTCTTCAGACAGTTTGTTCAAAGCTTCAGACCCACACCCAGAACACCACAACCCTGAAGTTCACCAGAAGCACTTTGCTTATGTTTCTTACAAAGCAAGGAAGCTCTCATAGGATCATAGAAGTATTCAGGATGAAAAGGGCCTCCAAAAGGTCATCAAGTCCTACCATTAAGCCAGCACTGCCAAATCCACCACTTAACCATGATCTTATGTGCCACATCTACAACACCATCTCATAGATAAGATGTTTGTGCTACATCTCATAGACAGCACCATGCTCCGCACAGGACAGCACAGTGAACAACAGGAGACCAAAAAGTGAACAGGAAAACAGCAGCAGCTCAATGTGATTGAGCCAATTCCTTAGTATTCACTCCTGTAAGTCACTTCTGAACTCCAGAGTTCTAAAATTCAGTATTATTGACAACAGCCAGAGCCAGCATTCATGCAATGCAGAGATGTCAGTCTACATACAGTTAAGGTTTACTTGCATGGCTTAAGTGGTTTAGTGGGCAGGATATGCTTTTGTAAATACAAAAGCAAAACAGAAAGGCAGATCAAATTTTGCTTCCTTACTTGATTTTGAAAAAATTAGAATGTTTTTAATTCCAAAAGGTAAATAAAATAGGAGCATCCCAATTATTTAAGAAGAATTCCCCAGCTATACTTCAGACTCAGTAAGGGAATACTAATTAGCAGATAAAATGACAGCAAAATTGTTACTTCAGTGTTAGTAAATATTTTTATTTTATTGTTGTTTGAATTAAAAGTAAAAAAATTGATAGTCTTATTTATGACACCTTCTTTTAAAAAGGAACAGCTTTTCAAACACTGACAACCTTGAAAATCCTCAAAGGTGTTGCATCTAAGAACTATCTTATTTCAATAACAGTTTTTAAAATCAAAGCCACCATCCTTCATAGGCACTTTTTTTTTTTTTTCAGTATTGGTGAACAACTGCACTGTTCTGGTCTGGAAAGTGCTAAAGGACTGTGAAGAATCATCAAAACCAATTATCTTGAACATGTGCTGAAGTGAAGCATATGAAAATTATAGAACTACAATGCTAAAAACAGAGGTATGTTCCAATTGGGAGCAAACATTAACATCATATTTCAAACACTTAATGGTAAACAGCAAAACCAGGTAACATAAAATGTCAGCATGCTACTGAATTGCATTATAGGTAATGACATTTACACGTTAAAAATGACAAAAGGAATATTAATACTGACTTATGTCCCTCTTTACTTAAATTCTAAAACAGTGGACATAATCAGTGTCACTGATTAATGACATTCTAGTATGGTGCAGGACTTTCAAACACATCGATGATAAAGAGATGTACAGTTAGTGTTAAAAAGTTTTGTAATGTGTTAACCTATCTATCTTCTAATTTTAAGTAAACACACATTTTGTCCTTACACCTAACTCCCACTTACCAGATTTTCTATACTGAGAGAGGTGCTACTGGCTGCACAGAATTCAGCATCAAAGAGCTAAAAGCCAGTCTCAGTTGGCACAGACTGCCATATTCTCAGGTACAGATTTGCAAAATGACGACAGGAACTTCCTGGGTAGTGACTCTGTATGACTACAGGACAAACCTCCTTGCTGACTCTGCACTTTCAAAAGCAGTCAGATTTTTTTTGAGTCTCATTTGTTGCCCAGTGAACATATGTGTTTCAGAGAACATTGAGAACAACTTATGCAAAATAATTTATTTGTTAACCTCTTCTCACTGCCCCTGGAACAAGTGCGTTTTCTTTTATCCAGAACAATCTTTCTCAGGTAAAAACCATTAAGCTTATATCCCTCCTCTGTTTGTGGAGCTCAGCAATAGTGAGTTCTTGAAAGGAGAAAGAACACAACTCTATACATCCTTCTCCAAAGACAGATAACATCAAACCCACAGCACAAACTTCTACCAGCTTTAGAAGGAGCCACTAAAGGAAGTAAAAGCTTCTCCAAAGCAAAGCCAAAAACCATAAAAGTCAAAATCTAAGAAATCTTATTGATCACACCATTTTAGCCAGAGCTGTGGATGCTCTGGATGCTGAGTGCTGTAGGTGTGTAGTCACAAAAGCACAGCCCCTGACAGCAGATTATCCAAGAACAGGGAACACCACAATGCACGGACACCAACAGATGGGAGAGCAGAAGGAAAGCATGAATCAGTATTGGCCCATGTGTCAAAAGAACTGGCACATGAAATTCCAGGTATAACTGCAGGTCTGGCAAGGGACAGTCATATAATGAGGGAGAAGAAAATCTGCAACTATTTGCAGAAGGATGATTAAAGCACTCAGTAGCCTGGGCATCCAATGTTTTATTATGACCTATGCGGTACATGTGACTTTAGCCAGGCCTCAGTCACACACTTTGGAGGGAAATGACTATCAAAAATGAAGGTAAATGTAAGAAAATTGAAAAGAAAGAATTTATGAATATACACATTAGTCCTTCTAAATAAAGGGAGACATAGTTCATGTAATTTTCAGTAAAGCATTCGACACAGAGTCAAATGAGAAAGTGTTGGTTAAACTGAAGAAGGTTTCTTCAGCAACCAAGCTGAAGAAAAGGCAAGAAAACATTTATCTGAGAGGGGTACTACCAGCCAAAAGAAGGATGACTAATCAAGTTTAGCAGCACTGGGATTAGGATTGCCTGTATTTATCATTTATCTCAATAACATTTCCAGGACAAGTATAACTGTGATGAAGAAATTTTCTTGTGATACAAATTTGGGAGACAATGATAATTAAGGGAAAGACTGAACTGTACACAAAGTCAAAAAGTCAAATGACCTTGAGTAGCACAATAAGATTGCATTCAGTAGTACAAAACGTATTGTCAGGCAGCTACAGATTAAGACCATCTACTAAAAGCTGTGAGTTCATTACCTGGAAACGAGTGAAGAAAGAGAGAAATCAAACAGCCCAAGTCTGCTCATTCATCAGAGCATGGCTGTGAGCAACAAACGCAGACCCAGAATATGATAAATATAGCTCATTACTGATAGAGATACAAGAACACTGACACTGTAAAAGTTCTCTCAAAACCTCATCTGTGCTGAGAAATGCTGCAGAAAACCCAGTGGAAGCCTAACAATATAGGCTTTAAATGTAGGTTTTTGTATTGACATAGAAACTGGCAGTCAAGGATGGCCTACAAAACTGTATTGGACCTCCTGTTAAAGCATTTGACAATATTGCATATATTGTTACCTTAAAAAATTCGTATGTTGTATGTATTGTAATTATAGACTTATTTAAGTTCCACCTAAATGCTTTATAATCCCTCATTAATGCAAGGTGTATTAAATAAAACCAAGAAATTATCTAACGAGAAAGGAGGAAACAGTGGCTGGTGATGTTTTGCTGTAGAAGTGGTACAGGAAGGTTCTACTCACTTAGTTATGCTTGCATACCAATAACAAGTAAGAATTAATAATTAGCAACATATACTCTCAACCAGTCCTTAAGAATTCAAGGATTTATGGACTTGAAAAATGTAAAAAAAAATATATCAGGTGTAAGGGCAGAATATAAAACTAGAATGGAAAGAAATGAAAGGCAACACTGGACTGACCAGAAAAAGAAGCATAAGAGAAAGGAGCTTCCCTAGCCCTCTGAGAGCCTCCTCAACTACAGTGATTATTTCAGCCTAGCTCAGATGATGAATCTGTCTGTAAGTTGCATATCTTGGTAGCCACCCACTGACAATTCTTGAATTTCAAGAATATATTATGACTCTGGCCAACCTCCTTCTGCACTTGTAGGAAGAAAGGAGACAGGAAAACCTCTTGGAACATTCTGCTGGGCAAAAATGCAAGTAGGATTACTTCAGAATGAAGCCTGCCTGAGCAAAGCAGACCCGAGGAGCTCATTTGGTCACCCAAACAAATCTTGCAAGAACATAATACTGTCTTTAACTACATGAGGATAAAATGCACAGAGCAGGAGAGCTGAACAATAACTAGTACATATACACTATCTAGAAAATAAATTCAGCCTGAAATTTTTAATATCTAATTAGGCCAGATGTGATGATTTCTCCCAGCATTTAGGAATGTGGGATTCCTTGTGACAGAGGAATCCTTTTGCAGAGATCTGAATAGTTATATGTATGCGTAGAAAAAGCATCACTCCTAACACATCTGAAAATACCAAGCCCTCCTCTGCAGCTGAATACTGGAAAATGAAATTTTTAACCAGTTTCTAAAAGCATTCTATGAATATCAAAAATAAAAGTTACAGAGCTACAAGAATGGCCAACCTTACGAATTTTACTCTTCCATAAGTACATAGCAGCAGAAGTATACAGGGAACATCATTGAACAGACTAAATATTTAGATTGAGCTTTTCAGGTCAGGTAATAAACACTGCACAGAAAATCTGAATCAGGCTATAGCATGCAAGTGGAGGAGGACAGAGACAGTATGGGAAACACCAACAGAATTACATGGTTACTCAGTTTAGATATAAATATTATCCTTCTGATTCAGATGTGTGATCATCTTTTCATTGCTGGTCCTTTGAAGTGCAAACACATATAAAATCACGAAGATATATTTTTATCAGTTATCTGAATTATTTTCTACCATCACAATACCTGAATTATAAAGGGAAGCCACGACTAAAAGCCTTTTTATCACATAAAAGCAGTATTCTGAAGTAGTTACAATTCAAATTATGACCCATCAATATATAAAAGTAGGAATTGTAAATGCAGGAATTGATATTTGACAAGCATCTTTCAAAACAAAAATTTAATTTACATGTGTATGTGTGTATACACATATATATGCTTTTTCTTCAGATAAGGATTTTAAAGACCAGCAAGTAGTTCAACTACTATATAGTGTGAAGTAATTTAGGAGGATGCTGTCTTATAAAAAATCTTTCCTCAAACTAGCACAGACAGGAGCAGGCAGCATCCACACTGATCATCTGAGGTTTAGCACAGTGGTTCTCACCTGGAAGAGGCACTTCATCTTTCCAGGGACTGGCAGAACTCCAGCCCTGCCTTCGCAGGCAGCTGCTGACACACTGATTTGAAGCACTCGGTTCTGTGAGCCAGCACACGGCTGTCCAGGGCAGATCCCACGTAAGGCTGCTGGTCTGGATCTGCCTGCCTGCCTTTGGCTGAGAAGTAAGGTAAGAAGCCAAATATAGCCTGCTGCTCACTGGTGATGATTCTGACCAAACGACTTGAGCACAAATCACTGATCAGTGCTGACAAAACACTAGCAGCTGGGAGAAATTCAGTGCTGTAGCCAGTTCTCAGCTACCTCTGCAGCTTCAATAATTTAACCTACAACATGGTGTTGAACTGATCTAGCCAGAACAAAAGCCAGTAGAGGCATCACTTTAATTGAACTCTGTCCTTGATTCAGAAAGCTACATTGGGTATTTCAAACACAGATTTCATAATGGTTCTATAACACAGACACTACTCTTTTCTGAGGGCTTTCTTCCTTTTTGGTAGAGAAAGGATGATAGAAGCAATGCTGGCTTTGTCTGGAAGGAGGAGGGTGTTGAATCCAGTGATTGTCCATCATTCTGTGTCACTGTAAGACTACAGTCAGGCCACAGCCACATCTTACTTATCCTTGACTGAAATCTTGCATGTCTGGCTTTAAAGCTGTCCAGATTCAAAAGGATCAACAAAGCAAGGTACCTTCTAAACCTAGTGTGACTTGGCAGGAAAAGATTTTCTGGTAATTAGGATCCGTGATCTGCAGATTTCACGGAGACTACTGCAGATGCATTGCTTCTCATACACCATGGCTTCATTCATGCACGAAAATCAGCTGTGATTTACACAGCTAGCCAGAATATATCTCCAGGGTCTGGATCTGAGTAAGTCCTAGTTTGCAGCTCTGAAAACCAGAGAATGAGGAGCTGTGACCCTTGTGTTGTGTTACCCCTTTTAGGGTATCTATGTTGCTGACTACATAGGAACTTGGTGTGCTGGAATCTACTTAGTGGATCATGCTCCTCAGGCTGGGTTAGGGGGTACAAAAGCTCAATTTCTAGCAAAAGCCATCTTTCTGGATATACTCTAACTACAGATCTAAGCCAAACAAATTTATTCTCTCTATAAAATCAGAAACTTATCAGTTTTATTTATGTCAGTCCACCATGCATATCTGTGCATACACAACAGAAGCTGAAAAGAAACTATAAATACTATATTATTGGGCTATCATAATTTGTCTTGTTTCATTGGCCATTTCTATTTTAATATCGTTCACCTCTTTGTGGGAGGATCATATATCTCACACCAGTGTTTTCATTGAGGGGACTCCACACAGATTTTTCAGTGGCACCAACATCACTGTGAATACAACACCACTGTGAATACAAGTTGTTTCTGAGCCCACCCTGGCTCACACCCCACATGCTGCTGCTGCTGATGTATTGAAAAGCAAACACCAGAAGACAGATTTCCTTTCTGCAAGTGGCATTGCAAGGTCTTCACATATTCACTAACAGCACACTCCTCAGGCTGACTGAGGACAGAGATAATTTGAGGGAGACATATTATGTAGTTTGCACACAGAGGAAAGACTACCTTAGATGTAGCACAAAGAGCTCACAGCTCCCTACAACGTCTGGAAGACATCACACACATGTCTCCATAAGAGCAGAGGGCACACAGTTTCCAAAGGTGACTAAACAAACAGTGGCACCATTAGCTACAAAACTGATTTGCTGACAAAGTTTTGAAAATTTACTTATTAGAGTTTTTCAATTATTTGCTGTTGCATACTGAGAAATGTACATACAGGAGAAATGTTAATTCAATTAATGTTAATTCAATTTACACATTTCCTGATTTCTGAGTTTTCACACATGGAAACATAAAGTTGTCTTTAGTTTTTCAAGGAATTTCTATGTGGAAAACTAGTGACTTTTTTTGCCCAGGACTGAACACTCGCACAATCTGACAAATATGTACATGCAAGCACACAGGTATGCACCAGAGCCACAAAGTGCAATGTACATCTCATCTAGCTTTTGGGGTGCAGAATGCAGCCATCACATTCCAGTCGTTACCCCAACCTCCTTTGCTAGCCAAATGGGCACTTTCAGGCTATGAGTCATTTTGTCTTAGCATAGAGGTAAAAAAAAATAGGTTCTTCAAGGGTGTGATTCATCTGTCCTGTTTCTCTCCATTCCCCACACAGGGAGCCTTGGGTGACTAACTCAGATGTAGATGTCTACATTTTGCCATATGAATCCCACTCACAGTCTGCAATTTCCCAAGCGTATCATACAAGAGCATGAGATTTCAAAACCAAAGAAGGGAGGTAACAGAGACAATTTCCCTATCCTCCCCCCACCTGTGCCAAGTTAATTATAGATGTTGCTCTTATACTGTATGTGGTCGCTAGAAGATCTGACAATATACCTTGACTTGTAAGACTATCAAAATATTTTCCAAGTACTACTATTTTTCTGATACTCAAGTTGAATGTTATTATAGAGCCAAGAAAATGCTCACAATGAATATCACATTTTCAGAAAAGGAAGGATTTAGATGAAATTATAATTCAATCTACTAGATGAAAATCGGTTTAAGCGAAAGAAATCTGCATATCAGAAGGTTTCAGCATCTCAGAGGACAGACTAGATACAGGCAATCTGAAAAGAGAAAGACAGTTGATCTGTATTCTCACAAACAACCAGAGCTAATCAAATTTTCCTAAGTTGATTAATAGAAACAAAAGAAGAAGCAGGGGTCCCTGTAACTGCTCTGAATATTAACTTGAAAATTGTAATCTCAAGATGACCCTCAGTCCTGGCAAAGCTGAATTCTCAGTGATGCTGGATTTTTAACCTTCCCTGGAGGTGGCAGCAAAGGGGGAAGAAAGAGAGAAGCCACTATTTCCTTAACTTGCAGAGATACAGAGATGAGAAGAAGAAATAGCACAAGGTGATATCTGAGGAAAGAAGGAGCATGAAGAATTTCAGAAGAAGTTGCGAATCATCAAATTTTTTATTTACGCCAATGAGGAGAAATTTCTAATCCTTCTGTGCAGAATATGCTCACTCTAGAAGTTGAAGCAATATCCACTTGAGCATCCTCAGCTATGAGAAAATAAATCCTTCTCTTTTCCCCTTCTGACTTAGATGATTTTTTTTTTGTAATTTCCACTTTTCTCAGTAAAAGCACAACTACTTGCTTTTCTGAAATATTTACTGCTGTTTCTCAGTATAAAAAGCCAAACCAGATGACAGATATGGAACATATTATTTTCACAGAGGAAGAAAAAACAAATAAAGCATTGCTCCACACAGGTATCTTTGAAATACTTAAAAACAAAGACATATCTCAGGATCCCAAGCAATAGGATGTCTTCCTCAATAATCTGCAAGTTTCTGTTTGACGAAAGTTGTCAGATGAGAGATCCCTATTAGTGAGTATTTTCAGTGCTCCCCTGAGAAGAAGCAGACAATGAAATTACAGTTCATGACTTTGGGAAAACTGCTGTCACGAAAAGCTAATGATATTACCATACTGTGTGAGATATTAGTACATTACCTATAAATACAATTTACAGAAATACTGGACCACAACTGGAGTCCATGTACACAGATCTCGTCAGGAATCTGTATAAGACAATACACCTCTGCTTTTCTTTCAAGACATTGATTTGAGCTGTTTTACCTTTTTTTTTTCCAGTTTTGTCATTAATCTTACAAGAATTTCCAGAGACATTTCCATATTAACATACTTGTCTTTTTCAAAGTAAAGCACAAGAACATTTACAATTTTAGAGGATTTTTCACAACTAAGAGCAATGTATTCCTTCTATTAAAATACTTTGCAGATTCATTTTCTTCCAATACGCATCTAATGCATTTAGGTCCCAAACCTGCAATGAACACAGATGCAGGGGTCTGCCCACACACAGCAGGAAAAGGGCCATAATTCTGACTCATCTAATTTATGCTTCTATACTAGTGTTACAATAATGTTAATATTGAATGAAAATATTTCTATAACACTTATAACATTTGTCAAAAATAATATTCAGAAATTGTCAAATTGCCACCATCATTCCTACATGATCAGAATATTTCATCTTCCACTAGGCTGCACTGGCAAGAGCATGTAGGAACACAGCAAACCCAGCACACATGCTTTGGTATTGCCACTGTTTGCAATGACCTGAGCCACAGACAGAGCTCAGAGGGGTAAGGACACGATATGCCAGCAAATAAAAATATCCAATTCAGTTGCTGCGAAATGCCTCCAAATTCCATGGCATAAAATGCATTGCCTGCTGCCAACCATATAGTTAGTAGCAGACTGTCTCCTGTTAGAGTGTACATTCAGCTCATGTTCATATCTCTCTCTTAGAAATGCAAAAGATAACCACAACCCTCAAAAGTGCTTAGCAAGTAAAAACAAGAAATTTACACTGGCCTACATGTAGCAATGACTGTACAGAACAGGTCTAATGTATAAGCAGAATAAGTCACACGCAGAATAAATATGGGAGTCTTCCATTTATACATAGATATACTTAATCTCAGCTAGGATAAATTTAAAACTTGAGACCAAAATTTAAACTTTTGAATCGTATTCCTACTGTCTCATTTAAAAAATTAATTTGGTTAAATTATGAAATGTCCCCCTAATTTTTTCTTTTTTTTTTCACCTGTAGCATCCATCACTGATGCAATATAATATATATGAAGTTTTGCTATTTTTACTTGGATGCATGCAGCCAAATTTATGCAAGTTTGCCAGTTTGATTTCATTTTGTATTTTGCCCTTCCATGCTTGCATTTCAGGTATCCTTAATCTTTTGTCATTAAGTATATTAGGAGTTACACAAATACACCTCCTAAACTCTCAGTAAGCAGTGATGGAATTGCTGGAATGCATTTCTTTTTATTCTATGCCAATAACACACACACAAAAAAAAAGATTCTCAGAAAAACAAATCAACAAACCAAAAACCACAGGATAGTTTCAAACTCATGATCAAATGAAAAGGAAATAAGCAAATGCACAGGCAATGGAAACAAGAACAAGTACCCTGTGAAGAGTATAGAGGTGAAATTCAGTGTGTGGGAATGGGGTGAAAGGCCACAGTGAAGCTGCAACTGAAGTTGACAAGGGATGCAAAGATAACAGGAAGGCCTTCTCCAGGATGTTAACCAGAAAA